CAACAACCTAATACCCTAACCAGTCAGTAATCATTACCTTAACCATAAACACCTTATACAATAATGGCATACCTATACGCTGATAAAATTTTACATTTTGAAAATACTTGCCCAAGTAAAGTACACATGTACTTCAAAAGTGAAATTCTAACTTTCGTTTCAAAACATAAATTTAAAAACTATCCTCACTAAGTATCCAACCACAAGCCTCTAATTAGTCTACAAGAGGTTTGTTATGTCAAGAGGGGAAAACAGTGAGAGAGTGGAATAGGGGCAATTAATAGAGTTAAATTGGGCGGAGTGTTTTTTACCTCGTACCGATAAATGTGTAAAGAGACACGCTACCATTTATCGAATCCCAAAAAAAAAAGATGGAACACATAATTGTGTTTAAATTGCTTGAACGCAAGACATGATCAGAATTTAGAAGCAGAAGCAGATGTAAATAAAAGCCCAACCTCTTCACAATCCAAATCATGTACACAAGCCCACTTTTGAAGGGAATTTAAAAGCCTGCAAAAAATGAATGATTAAACCCAGAAATAATATGGATCCCAGTCCAACTAGACTTTGTCCTAAACGCACTGTTAATACATAAACACAAGTTAAGGCGACCTCTCCATCCGATTCGAATCAAATTCTGTCTTCTTCATCTTCTTCCTCAATTAGGTCGAAGAATATGTTGCTTATTTCATCTTCAATTTGTTGCAAGGAGTTCCAATAACGCTAACACATGATGAAAAGTTCGATGAACACAATAATAGACATGGTCGCCGTAATCGTGTTAGAAAGAGATAGGTGTATAAATTCCGGTCGGAAATAAAATGGCGAAGAACAAAACGTCGATTGTGGATACAAGGATTTGTGGTTCAAAACGATGATTATGTGGTGATTTTAGATTCCGGTCGGAAATAAAATGGCGAAGAACAAAACGTCGATTGTGGATACAAGGATTTGTGGTTCAAAACGATGATTATGTGGGGATTTTAGATTGAAAAGGGATCTTCTCTTCGAACGTGGATACATAGATTTGGGGTTCAAAACATGATGATGTTGGGGATTTGATATTGGATAGGGAGCTAAATCAAATGTGGATCAAATGATAAAAGGATTTCAGATTTCAGATTTCAGAAACGATGATAAAAGGATTATGTTCAAACTTCGAACTAAGAGGGGACGTCCCCTCCAAGACGAATGAGGGACTAGAAATTGGTTAGGGCGGCGGGTCGTATCCATAGGGTTTAACCTCTTAATCGATATAATTAAACCGGGTACAGTTAGGTTGAAGTCCAATGAAAAAAGCTTAAACGCTTCGTGATGCTTTTGGTAATTTTCCTTGCCCCCGGTTACCCGTACCCCGAATTTTGCCCCGGGCACGCTAGAACTGCCCATATATATACATATATATATGTATCATTCTATTGTACTCCGGGTAAAATCTGGGGTATGTCGTACCTTGGATGATCTTCACCGTACATAAGATCTGGACGGTTCTAATATTTTCTGCATACCAACTCTATTTCCCCCCTTGTTCGTGTTCTTCTTCGTCTACCTCTTTCCATTTGTAGTCGATCTCCCACCTCTCTTCCCCAGCATGATCGGACCATCGCTCCACCGACTGCCGGAGCCTGTGCCCTCCATGCATGTCTTTGTGCCGGAAGAGTCGATCTCAATTCCAGCCCCTCCGAACCTTCGGCTTCTTTCTCCAAGGAATTCCCAAATTGTTGATCCTTCCGTCAATCGTTGGAGATTCCCGTTGTTGAGTTCAAGGCTAGAGATCCTCTCAAGACTCGGCCTAGTCGGATAGAGATATGAACGAAAATACTTCATATCCTGTAATTAGGGGTGACAAACGGTAAGCCAATAAACGGTTTACCGTTTTACCGTACCGTTTACCGGCGATATCGGCGGCCGAGTGTCAAATGGTGAAGCTCGGTTTACCGGCCCCAGTATCGGTAATACCAACGGTAAATCGGTAATACCGATACTGACAAGTGTGCAACTTTGAGTTTTCCAAATATTAAGTTAAGGCATTAACATATAACATATACTTCATTATTCACAAATATTACATACATGAATGGAAGTAACTAAGTATATGCCTCAAAAATATTATAAATAAGAGTTAATAATAAATTATTAATTACAAAAATGAAGAAAAAAACTCAGAAAAATCAAAATATTACAACATCATCCCACTGCCCAGAAATTCGGTTCGGTAATTTTCCGGTAAACCGAACCGAAAAATCGTCTGCAACTACTCCTTACGGTAAGTCGGTAAACCGGTTACAAACTGGTATCGATAATCGATTCCCCTTACCCACAGTCGGCATACCGAAAACCGGTAAAGTCGGTAAATGGTTTATCGGTTACCGACCGAATACCACCCTACCTGTAATTTATTAATTTTGATGGTCTAATTTGTTTATTATCATTTGGGAGAAGCAATTGACATAGCAAAATCGAATCAGTTTTGGTTAAAGTAACGTGCGATACTAAACTGAAATTCCAATAATTGTTTGTTGTAACGAAGTTCGGCCGGAAACCTAGCTTTCTCTTACGTTTGAGACAGGTGAATGATAAGGAAGATATGAGAATGTAGGTTTTAATCGCAAAATACATAGCTGGACAACTGATAACACTGAATTTGAACAAGTTTTTACCCCTAATTTCATGATTGTTTAGCTTGATATTTATCATAATTTGGCCTATTTTATGCTAGGTTGTGTTCATTTGTCGCATTTCACGTCCTAGCATGTAAAGTGAAGCATAGGCGCAAGTTTCAAGTCAATGGAGATCAATTGGCGACTCGGGAGAAGAAACTCGGGAATGACCTGATGAAGAATGGATTTATACCTCATTTTATGAACAAAGAATCATGTAATCTATTCTTGAAAAGAAAGAGGATGAGACTACAAGCGTCTTGGATCAAACGACGACTAATTCGGAGTTCGGGTGAGGGAGAAAGGACCCAAACATCGAAGACAGGATGAGCGATGAAGAGCTGATGAAGTTGCACGGCCAGTCTGGGAAGATGCTCGACCGTGCATCATGGTCGTGCAAGTCGCACGGCCGTGCACAACCGAGTCTCTGGCTGTGATGAATTCTGCGAGAAGCTGCACGGCTAGCCAAGGAAGTTACACGGCCGTGCATGCTGGTGGTGCGAAATTCCAGCTTCCGGTATAAAGGATGTTTTGCGATTTTTAGAGAAGGAGAGATGGGTATTGGATCCCAAACACCCAAGGGACGAACCCTAGAGAGAGAGCGACTTGGGAACATTCTTGGAGTTATATTGGAGGATTTCTTCACCATTGGAGCTCGAGAATCAAGCTTGGAGATGGAGATTGAAGATCTAGATCAGATTTCTGCAGTCTCTCTCTTCTTTATGGAGTAACTTCACTTCACTTAGGTTTTGAGGAACCCTAATTCCATGTGTTAGGATCTTTCTTGAATGAAGTTTTGGATGCTATATTGTGAGAATGACAGTGGTGTCACGGTTTTGAGGAGATGGAATAAATGGAAAACGGATGGGGGTTAGTGTTGTAACGTGCTATGGGGTTTTGGGTTTCTCCTTTTTATTATTTTTTCCCTTTCCTATTGCCACTAGGGAATACGAGTGGGTGGGGGGATTATATTAATGTTATTACTCATTAGTATGATGATGCCAATAATAATAATAACATTAGTTATTAATGTTATTATTATTATTATGACTAATCTACCGTTTCAATTCTTCGTACGTAATCGTCGATCAAATCGTTCGATCGCACCTAGATCTAAATATCGGGATGTTACACGTTACTCAACGAGTAAATTCTAATCTATTAACAATATCAATACTAATATGGTAATGAGTGAAGTTACATCCCGTCTACTATGCAAATATCCCTAAATTACATTCCCGTAAGATACTTTATCTCCAACTAAATTCCCAATTATTCACGTATCACCTACTCAACTTCGTACTCCTATAAAACACATCATATATAATACAGTCTATATCCCATATATTATTTTCCGGTTCAACCATGTATATCGTACTACTTCTATAAGTAAAAGCTGGAGGATTTTTAATCCTATGCGGATGACCTACTAGTCTTTTCTGATGGCTCGCTTGAGGCAGTTGAGGGGATCAAGTGCTTGCTAGAGGATTTTTATTCCTCAGAGTGTTTTCCAGTATTGGATGAGTGTTTTCTTTCTTCCTCAGAGTGTGTTGCATGACATTGAGGCTATCTACAATAGGTTTTATGGGGTGTGGGGGATAATGGTACTCGAGCTAAGACCTTGGTAGCTTGGGAGTATGTTGTTGCACTAAAGGCAGAGGATGGTCTTGGAGTGAAAGATTACAGAGTTTGGAACCGAGCCTGTGTTATCAGGCACATATGGGATACTATTGCTTGTAGTGGCTCTCTCTGGGTAGCCTGGATCAGAAAGTATAGACTCAGGGCCAGGCCTATTTGGGAGGTTTTCCCAACCTTTGTTGGTTTGTGGGACTGGAAACATGTACTGAAGGCCAGGGAGGAGGCTCATCAATTCATTACGGGTGTCGGTGCGTCTTTACGATGGTCAGGACAGCCTATGCCTAGATTCTCAGTGAAAAAGGTTTGGCTCTCTATCCGAGTTTCCAAACATGCAGTTCCGAGTAATGGTGAAATGATTTATAAAGTTAGTGGTGAATAAGAAAGAAAAGAAATTTAGGTGCCAAACATGAAATATTTATATAATTTGAGTGACCAAAGGTGTAATTTAGCCAATTTGTTAGTAACCCAAAGTTCAATGATGGTTATGGTAATTGACCCGATTGACTGCCATTAGTCTGGACGGGAGATAACTCGAATTCGAAAGCTCAATTTGATTCCCTTTTGCGGCGGCGATAGGGCGAACAGAGGAACGACCGGAGAGAACTTCGTAACCAAAGCAGGTCATGGCCCTTTTCCTCCATAGCGAGTGGTAGCCGTCGTCATCAGATTTATTTATACTGAAAAAGACGAAGAAGAAGTATGGCTCTTCAGCTGCTGAAGCTTTCCGTAGTCTCGCGCTTTAGTTACAGAAATGCTTGGTCTTCAAGCTCCTTCCTTTTGTCTAATTCCTGCTTCCCTTACATCCCTGGTAGGTGGTAACCGTGTTTCTTATCAAGGTCTGAAGTGGTGGGCTCTTGTTCCCCCCACCCCCCCTTCAGTTCTTGTGGGTTTCTCTGGGTAATTTGTACAAACACTTGGCAGTAGTTGCTAATTCTTTCGATTTCCAACGCTGCAGTTCGACGGGAGAGATCAGAGCACCGTTTTTGCGTTCGGTGCTTCGCTACAAAACCCGAAAAGATTCAAATACCCAGAAAGTAAGTATCTTGAGCTCCCTCGCTCTCTATCTAAGCGTCTCAGTTCTGCCTACTGTAGTAGTTAAAATCAGGCTCCTGAATTTGCAGGAAGAGAAGGCTGGATGAAGTGTGCCTAGATAGGTTCCAGCAGTACAGCAGAACGATGATACAATCTTGGATTTTGCAGGGTTAGTTTGTCACTTTGTCAGTTGCCTTGTGAAGAAGTTCTAAGCAACGAATAGGTCAATCAGGTTGTGTTTCTTTTCGGTTACAGGGAAAGTGTTTGTCAATGGCAAGAAAGTGAATAAAGCTGGCACTCCTGTCTCTGACAAATCTGTTGTGGAAATCACTGCTGAGATTCCCAAATATGTATGTAGGTGATGACTCTTTTTTCCAAAACGAAACCAATCTTGGTCCTTACATTTTACACAGAGAGGTGTATCGACTTTGATCTATTTGCAACACAGAGCAGGATATAAACTGGAAGCAGCCCTGGAACAACTCGGGGTCGATGTTACTGGCAAAGTAGCTCTTGATTCTGGATTGTCCACCGGGGGATTCACGGATTGCTTGCTTCAACATGGTGCCTCGTTCGTCTATGGTGTCGATGTGGGTTATGGTCAGGTAACTAATACTGAATTCTCATTCCTAGGCTGTAGTGAAATGAAATATGGTCCAGAAACTACAAATTTTGATTGTGAATGAAGCATTACTTCAGGTGGCAGATAAAATTAGGCGAGACGAACGTGTTAGTGTGATAGAAAGAACCAACCTAAGACATCTACCAGGGCTTCCCCAGAAAGTGGATATAGCGACTCTGGATCTCTCATTCATCTCTATTCTCCTGGTGAACTTGTTGATGCTTGGTGTAATTTTAACTCTGCTTTGGTTCATTTTCACTTCTCTTAGTACCATTATAATTCTCTCATACTTCATTTCCTGCAGGTTATGCCTGCTGTAGTCGGTGTCATGAAAGAAGAGGCAAGTTTGGTGACCCTAGTTAAGCCTCAATTTGAAGCTCATAGGTCGCAGGTTGGCAAGCACTACTTCCAATTTCTTTTCGATTTGGATGTCAGTCTTCTGTTGTAGATGGTATGATATACCAAACAGAAGTTGTGTATCATTAGTTCCAACTGACAAATTATAAGAGAAATTATGTATCTTGGTAGGTGGGAGGTGGAGGGATTGTAAGAGACCCAAAAGTCCATCAAGAGGTATGCTGCAATTCTACTTCCCAGTTCATGAGAATGCAGAAACCTGGTTTCGCCGAATGTATTGCGACACTGCTTGATATGACATTGGCTTCATTGTTTGCATATAGGTTCTTGAGAAGATTATAAATGGCGTGGAGAGTTTTGGCTTCAGGAAAAATGGATGGATCGAGTCTCCTATCAAGGGTGCAGAGGGAAACATAGAGTTTCTGGTCTACTTCATTCGAGTGAACGAAAGAAGCAATCCAGCAGTTGGAACTGGAGAAGAACTCTTATAGGCAGCCCTCTCTTCTACTCAATTTTCATATGTAGCATTACACCAGTAAAGATACTTCTAAGTTTAATTGTGAATGAACAAACGGTAACATTATGTTCCAAATTACATCTGTTTGTCGGACTATGGCTCCTTAAGCATCTGAATCGGGATGCTGAGGCCAATTACAGGACCGACAACTGAAAACCATGAGACGAGATATAGCTCCATTGCTTGCTCGACAGCCTGGAATAGCAATTTCATCCAATCACTGCTCCCGCAAGGATGTAATTTGCACCAGGGTCTGTTCAGGTACGGATGCTCCTACATTCGAAGAAACTAATCGTCACAATCCAAACCATCTGATTCTCCACAGAAGCAAACGAAAAGGGTTGAAGGTATAAGGTACCTCTTGAGTTATGAAAGTCCACTTTGATTCCAGCAAGACCTTGGCAGAGTTGGCTGGAAGTACCGACTCAATTTCGTTCAACCCCAAGCTTCTTCCATCTGCAAGAAAAACTTGGTTACTCAAGAGTGCAGAAGGATATGCTTCATCTGGTTATACCGTATTAGGATTACAAAGAGCTGAGCATTACCGCTGCAATATGCCCGGAAATATAGCACTGGAACCCTGAATGATGCACTGTAGATTATGTGGAAATCAAAATAGTAGGGTTGAGCATTATCATTACCACTACTCGTTTGAACCTTGTAACCACAGAAAGTGAGTGAACAGAATCAGTTTTAACTCGTTGGTTTTGGCAGCAGCATCTGAAGATGGAGACTTACCAGTGTAGCACTGTCGGTTGATTCCTCATCCTCTTTATCACATAAGCTTGCTTCGCCTTCCACACAAGACGCAACTTCATCATCATTCGACTTCACGATGCAAACGTTCTCCAACGAGAGGTAGCCTTCCTCAACCTGCAACGAGAAACCATGAATGATCCATAGGCCTGGTTGACAGGGAAAAGGACGGTTCTTAGGATGGAGGAGAGGAGACTAACTTTAATAGTAGCAAAGATGGGAACTTTGAGGGATTTGACCCATGTCCATGGAGGGTAAGCTGGGTTATTGAGCTTCCATTTCTCAGCAAAAGCTTGAGCAGATGCTGAGAACTCGCTCGCGGACAAAGTTCCATCCCAGGCCGATTCATCCATTTAGTAGCGAAGGAAGGAAGAACAATACGAACTCACACAAGCAAAACAACAAACACCTGGTGGGTAACACCGAATGAGATGGAGCGATCCAATCTCCGGAAACTGGAAATTACCGGCGACAGCCAGCAGAAAGTATCGTCTGTCCAACTCTCAAGGTTTGTGGGTGAATAATACTTTCGCGCCACGCCCCACCGCGGCGATCGCTCTTCTCGTCGTGTTTTCCGCCGATCTGCTCTTCTAGCGCGCGATACCCACCCTGCCAATCAGCCTTCTTGCCGGCAAAACTGGTGTTTTCGCACCAAACCGACGACTACTTTCGCACGAGAGATACGAAATGCTTCCTTTTATACTTCGAATAGCTTACTTTGTAAAATTGAATCTTAAAACACAAATAAATAAATAGTAAGATGGTGAAAATGTAGCAGTTTATGATTTTTCCAGATTCTCTATAAAAGCCTCTTGCTTCAAGCTTTCATCAAACGGGTACATATTCTCATATGATACAAAAAAGAACCAAGTTGTCAACTTTCTAACAAACGAATGAACAACCAAGCAATTCGTTTACACTACACTGGAGAAGGAAAAGTGGGAAGAAAGAAAATGTTTGCTGCCTCCAAAGATGTAATGGACTTGCAGCCTCAATTGCCTGGTTTTGAAGGAATCGGGGAAGACGGTGGCTTCAAATCTGGATACTGCGTCCAAAAATTCCCAGACCAAACCCACATTAGGAACATCGACAATGGATTAACATGATCCTCAAAGGAAGTAATCAATGAGAGAGATGGATGATCATTACATTGGGATAGGGAGACCTAGAATCTACTCTTGTATTCGATGCAGCTTTCACAGGTAAACGGCCATTCCCCTCTTTCTGATTTGGAGAAACCGAAGCAGCAGCAGCAGCACCATTGCTATCATTGACCGAGGTTCTGCTAGCCTTGTTCTTGCTGAACATACCAACAGAAGGCGGCAACATTGTTTTCTGTATAGCCTGCAAATGTGAAAGCCACGGCGATAGATGAACATAAGGCGTATCAGCAACTTCAGCAATACAACAACTTCTGTAACCAGCTTTCGAGCAGGCAAATTCCGAGAAAAGGAAGGAAATTTGGTTTCAAGAACATGGAAGTTTATCGAGGAAATTGCAAGAGAGAATCATCCATACCACCCATCCTTTTTTGCCTCGGACTCCGCCCTTTATAGCATAGGCCTCTTTCTGATTTGGTGACCCTAGTTAAGCCTCAATTTGAAGCTCATAGGTCGCAGGTTGGCAAGCACTACTTCCAATTTCTTTTCGATTTGGATGTCAGTCTTCTGTTGTAGATGGTATGATATACCAAACAGAAGTTGTGTATCATTAGTTCCAACTGACAAATTATAAGAGAAATTATGTATCTTGGTAGGTGGGAGGTGGAGGGATTGTAAGAGACCCAAAAGTCCATCAAGAGGTATGCTGCAATTCTTCTTCCCAGTTCATGAGAATGCAGAAACCTGGTTTCGCCGAATGTATTGCGACACTGCTTGATATGACATTGGCTTCATTGTTTGCATATAGGTTCTTGAGAAGATTATAAATGGCGTGGAGAGTTTTGGCTTCAGGAAAAATGGATGGATCGAGTCTCCTATCAAGGGTGCAGAGGGAAACATAGAGTTTCTGGTCTACTTCATTCGAGTGAACGAAAGAAGCAATCCAGCAGTTGGAACTGGAGAAGAACTCTTATAGGCAGCCCTCTCTTCTACTCAATTTTCATATGTAGCATTACACCAGTAAAGATACTTACTAAGTTTAATTGTGAATGAACAAACGGTAACATTATGTTCCAAATTACATCTGTTTGTGGGACTATGGCTCCTTAAGCATCTGAATCGGGATGCTGAGGCCAATTACAGGACCGACAACTGAAAACCATGAGACGAGATATAGCTCCATTGCTTGCTCGACAGCCTGGAATAGCAATTTCATCCAATCACTGCTCCCGCAAGGATGTAATTTGCACCAGGGTCTGTTCAGGTACGGATGCTCCTACATTCGAAGAAACTAATCGTCACAATCCAAACCATCTGATTCTCCACAGAAGCAAACGAAAAGGGTTGAAGGTATAAGGTACCTCTTGAGTTATGAAAGTCCACTTTGATTCCAGCAAGACCTTGGCAGAGTTGGCTGGAAGTACCGACTCAATTTCGTTCAACCCCAAGCTTCTTCCATCTGCAAGAAAAACTTGGTTACTCAAGAGTGCAGAAGGATATGCTTCATCTGGTTATACCGTATTAGGATTACAAAGAGCTGAGCATTACCGCTGCAATATGCCCGGAAATATAGCACTGGAACCCTGAATGATGCACTGTAGATTATGTGGAAATCAAAATAGTAGGGTTGAGCATTATCATTACCACTACTCGTTTGAACCTTGTAACCACAGAAAGTGAGTGAACAGAATCAGTTTTAACTCGTTGGCTTTGGCAGCAGCATCTGAAGATGGAGACTTACCAGTGTAGCACTGTCGGTTGATTCCTCATCCTCTTTATCACATAAGCTTGCTTCGCCTTCCACACAAGACGCAACTTCATCATCATTCGACTTCACGATGCAAACGTTCTCCAACGAGAGGTAGCCTTCCTCAACCTGCAACGAGAAACCATGAATGATCCATAGGCCTGGTTGACAGGGAAAAGGACGGTTCTTAGGATGGAGGAGAGGAGACTAACTTTAATAGTAGCAAAGATGGGAACTTTGAGGGATTTGACCCATGTCCATGGAGGGTAAGCTGGGTTATTGAGCTTCCATTTCTCAGCAAAAGCTTGAGCAGATGCTGAGAACTCGCTCGCGGACAAAGTTCCATCCCAGGCCGATTCATCCATTTAGTAGCGAAGGAAGGAAGAACAATACGAACTCACACAAGCAAAACAACAAACACCTGGTGGGTAACACCGAATGAGATGGAGCGATCCAATCTCCGGAAACTGGAAATTACCGGCGACAGCCAGCAGAAAGTATCGTATGTCCAACTCTCAAGGTTTGTGGGTGAATAATACTTTCGCGCCACGCCCCACCGCGGCGATCGCTCTTCTCGTCGTGTTTTCCGCCGATCTACTCTTCTAGCGCGCGATACCCACCCTGCCAATCAGCCTTCTTGCCGGCAAAACTGGTGTTTTCGCACCAAACCGACGACTACTTTCGCACGAGAGATACGAAATGCTTCCTTTTATACTTCGAATAGCTTACTTTGTAAAATTGAATCTTAAAACACAAATAAATAAATAGTAAGATGGTGAAAATGTAGCAGTTTATGATTTTTCCAGATTCTCTATAAAAGCCTCTTGCTTCAAGCTTTCATCAAACGGGTACATATTCTCATATGATACAAAAAAGAACCAAGTTGTCAACTTTCTAACAAACGAATGAACAACCAAGCAATTCGTTTACACTACACTGGAGAAGGAAAAGCATGGATTACGAAACCGTACCGGACATCAAACCGGAATCGTTTTTGGCATGGTAAATCGTGGTACAATCATGGTTCAACCGTTTCCTACCGGTAAATACCGTTTTTGGAATAAAAAAATTATTTTTCTGTTAAAAAACCGTACCGATAAAATTAGGGTACCATACCGGGAAAATACCGGAATAATACCGGATTATACCGCCTAAGAAACTGTAAAAGAGTAAATAAGCGGGAACATTCAACAAAGTGGCATGTAAAACCTAAACGAGTATTGGTTTTGGGCATTCATTATCAAATAATTCTAGCCAAGATGGTGAAGGAGATCCTCATATGGAAGTTCAACTCTTACATGAAAGCTCAACTACGGAACATGATTAAAACACCAATTTATGCTATAAGGCACCCAATTGCAACCAAGACTCCGCGATTTAAGATCAACTAATCTATTGAGCCAGTAAATCATGAATACTGGAAACAAACATCACAACAGAACATGGAATCAGAGCAAGGAAATGGACAAGGCAATCAAACTACCACCAAGGAGAAGGGAATTCGAATTCTGAAAATCTTCCCAACGAATACCCAGCAATTGAAGCGATTTTAGTATGGTGCATGAGAGGAAAAGGAAAGGGGGAAGAGCAGAAGTAAACTCCACCTTAAGGCGATGGTGATCCCGCTGACAGGGTTGTCCCACTGGCGGCACAAGAACGCAGGGTAGGAAATCCTTATCTCTTCCCTTGGCACGACGTCGACGGCGGAGACAACGAAGCTGGTACAGCTACACCACCACCGCCACTAGGGATTTGGAGCCGCGGGAGACGGAAGGAGGAAGAAACCAGCCAGTGAACGACCAACGAAGCTCCTCTTTCTCCTCCGGCGCGGCGCGGCTGTGAACGACGATGCCTTCGATTGCTGGGGAGGACGAGTTGCCGATGGTGTTTGGTTGCTGGGGAGGACGCGGTCGCCGGTGGTGTTGATCGCCGGTTGCTGGGGAGGCAGAGCGGCGCGGCGCGGGGAGACTAGAGGCAGAGCGGCGCTGCTGGGAGAGGGAGACGAGAGGCAGAGAGGGCGTTAGCAGGGCCAGCCAAAGGAAGGTAGGGTTTTTGCGTCTCTGCTTCCCTTGCCTTCCGTTTTTTTTTTTTCATTAAAACGGCGCCGTTTGTGTAAAATGAAGGGACCGCTGGGTTTTTTTAAACCGGCCGAAATTTCGGCCCATTGCGGTCCAACCGCAAATACCGCCCGGCAGGTTATTGAAGGGTACAAAGCTCTATTGTGCCGGTTTACCTCCGGTTTCCGGTTTTTCCGGTTCGACCGGCCGGTCCGGTACGGTATCCTGGTCCTTGAGGAAAAGTGGGAAGAAAGAAAATGTTTGCTGCCTCCAAAGATGTAATGGACTTGCAGCCTCAATTGCCTGGTTTTGAAGGAATCGGGGAAGACGGTGGCTTCAAATCTGGATACTGCGTCCAAAAATTCCCAGACCAAACCCACATTAGGAACATCGACAATGGATTAACATGATCCTCAAAGGAAGTAATCAATGAGAGAGATGGATGATCATTACATTGGGATAGGGAGACCTAGAATCTACTCTTGTATTCGATGCAGCTTTCACAGGTAAACGGCCATTCCCCTCTTTCTGATTTGGAGAAACCGAAGCAGCAGCAGCAGCACCATTGCTATCATTGACCGAGGTTCTGCTAGCCTTGTTCTTGCTGAACATACCAACAGAAGGCGGCAACATTGTTTTCTGTATAGCCTGCAAATGTGAAAGCCACGGCGATAGATGAACATAAGGCGTATCAGCAACTTCAGCAATACAACAACTTCTGTAACCAGCTTTCGAGCAGGCAAATTCCGAGAAAAGGAAGGAAATTTGGTTTCAAGAACATGGAAGTTTATCGAGGAAATTGCAAGAGAGAATCATCCATACCACCCATCCTTTTTTGCCTCGGACTCCGCCCTTTATAGCATAGGCCTCTTTCTGATTTGGTGACCCTAGTTAAGCCTCAATTTGAAGCTCATAGGTCGCAGGTTGGCAAGCACTACTTCCAATTTCTTTTCGATTTGGATGTCAGTCTTCTGTTGTAGATGGTATGATATACCAAACAGAAGTTGTGTATCATTAGTTCCAACTGACAAATTATAAGAGAAATTATGTATCTTGGTAGGTGGGAGGTGGAGGGATTGTAAGAGACCCAAAAGTCCATCAAGAGGTATGCTGCAATTCTTCTTCCCAGTTCATGAGAATGCAGAAACCTGGTTTCGCCGAATGTATTACGACACTGCTTGATATGACATTGGCTTCATTGTTTGCATATAGGTTCTTGAGAAGATTATAAATGGCGTGGAGAGTTTTGGCTTCAGGAAAAATGGATGGATCGAGTCTCCTATCAAGGGTGCAGAGGGAAACATAGAGTTTCTGGTCTACTTCATTCGAGTGAACGAAAGAAGCAATCCAGCAGTTGGAACTGGAGAAGAACTCTTATAGGCAGCCCTCTCTTCTACTCAATTTTCATATGTAGCATTACACCAGTAAAGATACTTCTAAGTTTAATTGTGAATGAACAAACGGTAACATTATGTTCCAAATTACATCTGTTTGTGGGACTATGGCTCCTTAAGCATCTGAATCGGGATGCTGAGGCCAATTACAGGACCGACAACTGAAAACCATGAGACGAGATATAGCTCCATTGCTTGCTCGACAGCCTGGAATAGCAATTTCATCCAATCACTGCTCCCACAAGGATGTAATTTGCACCAGGGTCTGTTCAGGTACGGATGCTCCTACATTCGAAGAAACTAATCGTCACAATCCAAACCATCTGATTCTCCACAGAAGCAAACGAAAAGGGTTGAAGGTATAAGGTACCTCTTGAGTTATGAAAGTCCACTTTGATTCCAGCAAGACCTTGGCAGAGTTGGCTGGAAGTACCGACTCAATTTCGTTCAACCCCAAGCTTCTTCCATCTGCAAGAAAAACTTGGTTACTCAAGAGTGCAGAAGGATATGCTTCATCTGGTTATACCGTATTAGGATTACAAAGAGCTGAGCATTACCGCTGCAATATGCCCGGAAATATAGCACTGGAACCCTGAATGATGCACTGTAGATTATGTGGAAATCAAAATAGTAGGGTTGAGCATTATCATTACCACTACTCGTTTGAACCTTGTAACCACAGAAAGTGAGTGAACAGAATCAGTTTTAACTCGTTGGTTTTGGCAGCAGCATCTGAAGATGGAGACTTACCAGTGTAGCACTGTCGGTTGATTCCTCATCCTCTTTATCACATAAGCTTGCTTCGCCTTCCACACAAGACGCAACTTCATCATCATTCGACTTCACGATGCAAACGTTCTCCAACGAGAGGTAGCCTTCCTCAACCTGCAACGAGAAACCATGAATGATCCATAGGCCTGGTTGACAGGGAAAAGGACGGTTCTTAGGATGGAGGAGAGGAGACTAACTTTAATAGTAGCAAAGATGGGAACTTTGAGGGATTTGACCCATGTCCATGGAGGGTAAGCTGGGTTATTGAGCTTCCATTTCTCAGCAAAAGCTTGAGCAGATGCTGACAACTCGCTCGCGGACAAAGTTCCATCCCAGGCCGATTCATCCATTTAGTAGCGAAGGAAGGAAGAACAATACGAACTCACACAAGCAAAACAACAAACACCTGGTGGGTAACACCGAATGAGATGGAGCGATCCAATCTCCGGAAACTGGAAATTACCGGCGACAGCCAGCAGAAAGTATCGTATGTCCAACTCTCAAGGTTTGTGGGTGAATAATACTTTCGCGCCACGCCCCACCGCGGCGATCGCTCTTCTCGTCGTGTTTTCCGCCGATCTACTCTTCTAGCGCGCGATACCCACCCTGCCAATCAGCCTTCTTGCCGGCAAAACTGGTGTTTTTGCACCAAACCGACGACTACTTTCGCACGAGAGATACGAAATGCTTCCTTTTATACTTCGAATAGCTTACTTTGTAAAATTGAATCTTAAAACACAAATAAATAAATAGTAAGATGGTGAAAATGTAGCAGTTTATGATTTTTCCAGATTCTCTATAAAAGCCTCTTGCTTCAAGCTTTCATCAAACGGGTACATATTCTCATATGATACAAAAAAGAACCAAGTTGTCAACTTTCTAACAAACGAATGAACAACCAAGCAATTCGTTTACACTACACTGGAGAAGGAAAAGTGGGAAGAAAGAAAATGTTTGCTGCCTCCAAAGATGTAATGGACTTGCAGCCTCAATTGCCTGGTTTTGAAGGAATCGGGGAAGACGGTGGCTTCAAATCTGGATACTGCGTCCAAAAATTCCCAGACCAAACCCACATTAGGAACATCGACAATGGATTAACATGATCCTCAAAGGAAGTAATCAATGAGAGAGATGGATGATCATTACATTGGGATAGGGAGACCTAGAATCTACTCTTGTATTCGATGCAGCTTTCACAGGTAAACGGCCATTCCCCTCTTTCTGATTTGGAGAAACCGAAGCAGCAGCAGCAGCACCATTGCTATCATTGACCGAGGTTCTGCTAGCCTTGTTCTTGCTGAACATACCAACAGAAGGCGGCAACATTGTTTTCTGTATAGCCTGCAAATGTGAAAGCCACGGCGATAGATGAACATAAGGCGTATCAGCAACTTCAGCAATACAACAACTTCTGTAACCAGCTTTCGAGCAGGCAAATTCCGAGAAAAGGAAGGAAATTTGGTTTCAAGAACATGGAAGTTTATCGAGGAAATTGCAAGAGAGAATCATCCATACCACCCATCCTTTTTTGCCTCGGACTCCGCCCTTTATAGCATAGGCCTCTTTCTGATTTGGTGACCCTAGTTAAGCCTCAATTTGAAGCTCATAGGTCGCAGGTTGGCAAGCACTACTTCCAATTTCTTTTCGATTTGGATGTCAGTCTTCTGTTGTAGATGGTATGATATACCAAACAGAAGTTGTGTATCATTAGTTCCAACTGACAAATTATAAGAGAAATTATGTATCTTGGTAGGTGGGAGGTGGAGGGATTGTAAGAGACCCAAAAGTCCATCAAGAGGTATGCTGCAATTCTTCTTCCCAGTTCATGAGAATGCAGAAACCTGGTTTCGCCGAATGTATTGCGACACTGCTTGATATGACATTGGCTTCATTGTTTGCATATAGGTTCTTGAGAAGATTATAAATGGCGTGGAGAGTTTTGGCTTCAGGAAAAATGGATGGATCGAGTCTCCTATCAAGGGTGCAGAGGGAAACATAGAGTTTCTGGTCTACTTCATTCGAGTGAACGAAAGAAGCAATCCAGCAGTTGAAACTGGAGAAGAACTCTTATAGGCAGCCCTCTCTTCTACTCAATTTTCATATGTAGCATTACACCAGTAAAGATACTTCTAAGTTTAATTGTGAATGAACAAACGGTAACATTATGTTCCAAATTACATCTGTTTGTGGGACTATGGCTCCTTAAGCATCTGAATCGGGATGCTGAGGCCAATTACAGGACCGACAACTGAAAACCATGAGACGAGATATAGCTCCATTGCTTGCTCGACAGCCTGGAATAGCAATTTCATCCAATCACTGCTCCCGCAAGGATGTAATTTGCACCAGGGTCTGTTCAGGTACGGATGCTCCTACATTCGAAGAAACTAATCGTCACAATCCAAATTCTAATCTATTAACAATATCAATACTAATATGGTAATGAGTGAAGTTACATCCCGTCTACTATGCAAATATCCCTAAATTACATTCCCGTAAGATACTTTATCTCCAACTAAATTCCCAATTATTCACGTATCACCTACTCAACTTCGTACTCCTATAAAACACATCATATATAATACAGTCTATATCCCATATATTATTTTCCGGTTCAACCATGTATATCGTACTACTTCTATAAGTAAAAGCTGGAGGATTTTTAATCCTATGCGGATGACCTACTAGTCTTTTCTGATGGCTCGCTTGAGGCAGTTGAGGGGATCAAGTGCTTGCTAGAGGATTTTTATTCCTCAGAGTGTTTTCCAGTATTGGATGAGTGTTTTCTTTCTTCCTCAGAGTGTGTTGCATGACATTGAGGCTATCTACAATAGGTTTTATGGGGTGTGGGGGATAATGGTACTCGAGCTAAGACCTTGGTAGCATGGGAGTATGTTGTTGCACTAAAGGCAGAGGATGGTCTTGGAGTGAAAGATTACAGAGTTTGGAACCGAGCCTGTGTTATCAGGCACATATGGGATACTATTGCTTGTAGTGGCTCTCTCTGGGTAGCCTGGATCAGAAAGTATAGACTCAGGGCCAGGCCCATTTGGGAGGTTTTCCCAACCTTTGTTGGTTTGTGGGACTGGAAACATGTACTGAAGGCCAGGGAGGAGGCTCATCAATTCATTACGGGTGTCGGTGCGTCTTTACGATGGTCAGGACAGCATATGCCTAGATTCTCAGTGAAAAAGGTTTGGCTCTCTATCCGAGTTTCCAAACATGCAGTTCCGAGTAATGGTGAAATGATTTATAAAGTTAGTGGTGAATAAGAAAGAAAAGAAATTTAGGTGCCAAACATGAAATATTTATATAATTTGAGTGACCAAAGGTGTAATTTAGCCAATTTGTTAGTAACCCAAAGTTCAATGATGGTTATGGTAATTGACCCGATTGACTGCCATTAGTCTGGACGGGAGATAACTCGAATTCGAAAGCTCAATTTGATTCCCTTTTGCGGCGGCGATAGGGCGAACAGAGGAACGACCGGAGAGAACTTCGTAACCAAAGCAGGTCATGGCCCTTTTCCTCCATAGCGAGTGGTAGCCGTCGTCATCAGATTTATTTATACTGAAAAAGACGAAGAAGAAGTATGGCTCTTCAGCTGCTGAAGCTTTCCGTAGTCTCGCGCTTTAGTTACAGAAATGCTTGGTCTTCAAGCTCCTTCCTTTTGTCTAATTCCTGCTTCCCTTACATCCCTGGTAGGTGGTAACCGTGTTTCTTATCAAGGTCTGAAGTGGTGGGCTCTTGTTTCCCCCCCCCCCCCCCCCCCCCCCCCCCCCCCCCCCCCCCTTCAGTTCTTGTGGGTTTCTCTGGGTAATTTGTACAAACACTTGGCAGTAGTTGCTAATGCTTTCGATTTCCAACGCTGCAGTTCGACGGGAGAGATCAGAGCACCGTTTTTGCGTTCGGTGCTTCGCTACAAAACCCGAAAAGATTCAAATACCCAGAAAGTAAGTATCTTGAGCTCCCTCGCTCTCTATCTAAGCGTCTCAGTTCTGCCTACTGTAGTAGTTAAAATCAGGCTCCTGAATTTGCAGGAAGAGAAGGCTGGATGAAGTGTGCCTAGATAGGTTCCAGCAGTACAGCAGAACGATGATACAATCTTGGATTTTGCAGGGTTAGTTTGTCACTTTGTCAGTTGCCTTGTGAAGAAGTTCTAAGCAACGAATAGGTCAATCAGGTTGTGTTTCTTTTCGGTTACAGGGAAAGTGTTTGTCAATGGCAAGAAAGTGAATAAAGCTGGCACTCCTGTCTCTGACAAATCTGTTGTGGAAATCACTGCTGAGATTCCCAAATATGTATGTAGGTGATGACTCTTTTTTCCAAAACGAAACCAATCTTGGTCCTTACATTTTACACAGAGAGGTGTATCGACTTTGATCTATTTGCAACACAGAGCAGGATATAAACTGGAAGCAGCCCTGGAACAACTCGGGGTCGATGTTACTGGCAAAGTAGCTCTTGATTCTGGATTGTCCACCGGGGGATTCACGGATTGCTTGCTTCAACATGGTGCCTCGTTCGTCTATGGTGTCGATGTGGGTTATGGTCAGGTAACTAATACTGAATTCTCATTCCTAGGCTGTAGTGAAATGAAATATGGTCCAGAAACTACAAATTTTGATTGTGAATGAAGCATTACTTCAGGTGGCAGATAAAATTAGGCGAGACGAACGTGTTAGTGTGATAGAAAGAACCAACCTAAGACATCTACCAGGGCTTCCCCAGAAAGTGGATATAGCGACTCTGGATCTCTCATTCATCTCTATTCTCCTGGTGAACTTGTTGATGCTTGGTGTAATTTTAACTCTGCTTTGGTTCATTTTCACTTCTCTTAGTACCATTATAATTCTCTCATACTTCATTTCCTGCAGGTTATGCCTGCTGTAGTCGGTGTCATGAAAGAAGAGGCAAGTTTGGTGACCCTAGTTAAGCCTCAATTTGAAGCTCATAGGTCGCAGGTTGGCAAGCACTACTTCCAATTTCTTTTCGATTTGGATGTCAGTCTTCTGTTGTAGATGGTATGATATACCAAACAGAAGTTGTGTATCATTAGTTCCAACTGACAAATTATAAGAGAAATTATGTATCTTGGTAGGTGGGAGGTGGAGGGATTGTAAGAGACCCAAAAGTCCATCAAGAGGTATGCTGCAATTCTTCTTCCCAGTTCATGAGAATGCAGAAACCTGGTTTCGCCGAATGTATTGCGACACTGCTTGATATGACATTGGCTTCATTGTTTGCATATAGGTTCTTGAGAAGATTATAAATGGCGTGGAGAGTTTTGGCTTCAGGAAAAATGGATGGATCGAGTCTCCTATCAAGGGTGCAGAGGGAAACATAGAGTTTCTGGTCTACTTCATTCGAGTGAACGAAAGAAGCAATCCAGCAGTTGGAACTGGAGAAGAACTCTTATAGGCAGCCCTCTCTTCTACTCAATTTTCATATGTAGCATTACACCAGTAAAGATACTTCTAAGTTTAATTGTGAATGAACAAACGGTAACATTATGTTCCAAATTACATATGTTTGTGGGACTATGGCTCCTTAAGCATCTGAATCGGGATGCTGAGGCCAATTACAGGACCGACAACTGAAAACCATGAGACGAGATATAGTTCCATTGCTTGCTCGACAGCCTGGAATAGCAATTTCATCCAATCACTGCTCCCGCAAGGATGTAATTTGCACCAGGGTCTGTTCAGGTACGGATGCTCCTACATTCGAAGAAACTAATCGTCACAATCCAAACCATCTGATTCTCCACAGAAGCAAACGAAAAGGGTTGAAGGTATAAGGTACCTCTTGAGTTATGAAAGTCCACTTTGATTCCAGCAAGACCTTGGCAGAGTTGGCTGGAAGTACCGACTCAATTTCGTTCAACCCCAAGCTTCTTCCATCTGCAAGAAAAACTTGGTTACTCAAGAGTGCAGAAGGATATGCTTCATCTGGTTATACCGTATTAGGATTACAAAGAGCTGAGCATTACCGCTGCAATATGCCCGGAAATATAGCACTGGAACCCTGAATGATGCACTGTAGATTATGTGGAAATCAAAATAGTAGGGTTGAGCATTATCATTACCACTACTCGTTTGAACCTTGTAACCACAGAAAGTGAGTGAACAGAATCAGTTTTAACTCGTTGGTTTTGGCAGCAGCATCTGAAGATGGAGACTTACCAGTGTAGCACTGTCGGTTGATTCCTCATCCTCTTTATCACATAAGCTTGCTTCGCCTTCCACACAAGACGCAACTTCATCATCATTCGACTTCACGATGCAAACGTTCTCCAACGAGAGGTAGCCTTCCTCAACCTGCAACGAAAAACCATGAATGATCCATAGGCCTGGTTGACAGGGAAAAGGACGGTTCTTAGGATGGAGGAGAGGAGACTAACTTTAATAGTAGCAAAGATGGGAACTTTGAGGGATTTGACCCATGTCCATGGAGGGTAAGCTGGGTTATTGAGCTTCCATTTCTCAGCAAAAGCTTGAGCAGATGCTGAGAACTCGCTCGCGGACAAAGTTCCATCCCAGGCCGATTCATCCATTTAGTAGCGAAGGAAGGAAGAACAATACGAACTCACACAAGCAAAACAACAAACACCTGGTGGGTAACACCGAATGAGATGGAGCGATCCAATCTCCGGAAACTGGAAATTATCGGCGACAGCCAGCAGAAAGTATCGTCTGTCCAACTCTCAAGGTTTGTGGGTGAATAATACTTTCGCGCCACGCCCCACCGCGGCGATCGCTCTTCTCGTCGTGTTTTCCGCCGATCTACTCTTCTAGCGCGCGATACCCACCCTGCCAATCAGCCTTCTTGCCGGCAAAACTGGTGTTTTCGCACCAAACCGACGACTACTTTCGCACGAGAGATACGAAATGCTTCCTTTTATACTTCGAATAGCTTACTTTGTAAAATTGAATCTTAAAACACAAATAAATAAATAGTAAGATGGTGAAAATGTAGCAGTTTATGATTTTTCCAGATTCTCTATAAAAGCCTCTTGCTTCAAGCTTTCATCAAACGGGTACATATTCTCATATGATACAAAAAAGAACCAAGTTGTCAACTTTCTAACAAACGAATGAACAACCAAGCAATTCGTTTACACTACACTGGAGAAGGAAAAGTGGGAAGAAAGAAAATGTTTGCTGCCTCCAAAGATGTAATGGACTTGCAGCCTCAATTGCCTGGTTTTGAAGGAATCGGGGAAGACGGTGGCTTCAAATCTGGATACTGCGTCCAAAAATTCCCAGACCAAACCCACATTAGGAACATCGACAATGGATTAACATGATCCTCAAAGGAAGTAATCAATGAGAGAGATGGATGATCATTACATTGGGATAGGGAGACCTAGAATCTACTCTTGTATTCGATGCAGCTTTCACAGGTAAACGGCCATTCCCCTCTTTCTGATTTGGAGAAACCGAAGCAGCAGCAGCAGCACCATTGCTATCATTGACCGAGGTTCTGCTAGCCTTGTTCTTGCTGAACATACCAACAGAAGGCGGCAACATTGTTTTCTGTATAGCCTGCAAATGTGAAAGCCACGGCGATAGATGAACATAAGGCGTATCAGCAACTTCAGCAATACAACAACTTCTGTAACCAGCTTTCGAGCAGGCAAATTCCGAGAAAAGGAAGGAAATTTGGTTTCAAGAACATGGAAGTTTATCGAGGAAATTGCAAGAGAGAATCATCCATACCACCCATCCTTTTTTGCCTCGGACTCCGCCCTTTATAGCATAGGCCTCTTTGAATCCATTCTTTACCAACAACTCCGCTGCTCGCAATGAATTATCATCAGCACTACCTTGCGCGCAACAAGAAACTGTTAAACCTCATAACTGAAGTGACATATAGATACTTCATTTCTATGAAACAATGGAGACAGGCACCTAAATTATCCCATCGCATCAGAGCTATACGAGATCCAGACTCAGCCTCAGAAATTATACCAACTCTTTTACATTTAAGGTGGTTGAAACCACTCGCTAGAACTTGAATTCCCATATCAATACTCCACACCCAGCACACACACACACACACACACATTCAATCAGTTATCTGAGCTAAAACTGGCAGTGATTGAGAACCAACCAACTAAGTGCTCTTTTCATTTGCTATGCATAGTGAACAAGCAACCCAAATCAAAAGTTCAGAGCTTTGACTGCGACAAGTTAGTAGGAAAAACCTTACTTGTCTAGAATGCAAAGCACTGTATTTGCCGGCTCCCGAAACTTCCCCAACACTTTCTTCACAAACCCATCTTCGTCGACATCCTTCACAAACTCGACTTGAACCACACTCTTATTCAAAATCTTCAAATTAGGCGAACCCAAACCCTCCACGCTCTTCTCATCCCTGATATCCAGAAGCTGCACTTCGGAATTGTCCCTGAGCTTCCGAAACGCATCAATGGCGGAGAGATATCTGTACTTCCTCAAGTACTGTTGACCAACAGGGATAACAACCAACCAAATGAACAAGCAACCGGAGACGAAGAATGGGTAGCGGGTGAAGAAATCGTCGATGGATACTAGGACGGATTCCAAGTTGATTTTGTCTGAGACTTGGTCGGCCGGGGTTTCGGCGGCGAGGGAAGGGAGACTAGGGGAGAAGAGGTGAATGGCGGTAAACGAAAGAGATGATTTTCTGAATTGGGAGGGGATATGGAGATGATTGGAGTTTGAGGTGGGTACTACTATGGCGGATTTGAGGGGTTTAGAGTGGGTTTGGAGGAGAGGTGGAGACGATGATGAGAGGATCATGGAAAGGGACTCCATGATCAGCAAAACAACCACACGGAAAGGGAGAATGTGGATATAGATATGGTACAAGAACAACTGAACAAGAGTCATCACCGTTGGGCTGAGCCACGGAATCGGGTATGGGCTTATTTAATGAGACCCATTACTGATAGCCTCGTCGTTGTCAACCCGTTGACCCACTTTGACCCTGACCCGGTGAGAAAAATGGGCCGCACGCATTCGCCAGGTTGACCGTTATAAGATACTGGGTTGGAGGTCAAATTGTGCCATTTTTTTCTTTGTTTTCCGAAATGCGCCTATTTTCCGATTTTTCTTTTCGCCTAACTTAATCTTTGGAATCCTAAGTTTAACATTTGAATATTAATGTTATATAAGTGTGTGTGAATTTTCACTATATGTTGAATCTAAGTACGAAATGTTATTTTGGTGTAATATTATATGTTATAACTCATATATTAGATGAGATTTGATATAATTTATCAGGATAAGTACAATATAATGACGCTTTCCATATTTCCGGGCTAAACCGGGCTAAAACGGCTGACCCATTAACCCTTGACCCACTAGCTCAATCGGGTCTGGGTCAACCCGCGGGTTGACAACCTTATAAAAAAAAAAAAAAAAAAAAAAGATATTCGATAAGATAATAGAATCAAAGAACACAAAGAGTTACAATAATCGGCAAATGATCAATAACCAAAAATTCATCAAAACCATCGAAACAACCGCGATTTCTTCTCATTTTCATAAATTTTGCATCAACTATCTCTAAAGTAATGAGTCATTCACTTGTCATTCTGTTTTTTATAGGTGCCACAACAGAAAACAAAATTAAAATGAAAACTAAGCTGTCATTTTCTGGGAAACAAATTTTTAAAAAACTTGTTTAGATGAGAATTTTGGTGAGTACTGAAACTAAATTCTGAAAATGAAAACCTGTTTAGTTATTTTACTGTTTTCTGGTACTTTATTATATATGTCTTTTAAGTTATAGCACCGTTCGAACTATTAATCATTAAATTTTCCTACATTAAACATATATGGTTAGTAAATGAGTGATTGGCCAAACAAAAGTGAATTTACAAGGAATCTAGATTAGATGAGACTAATGCATTGGATCTATATTTCTTGTACTCCTTTTCAAATCATGGTTAAGATTGATGATTGGATTGGATTGGATTGGATGTATATATGGTGGTTAGTGGGACAAAAAAAGGTTACGTTCAACCAAAAAAAAAGTTACTTTTTCTTTAATTAAGTGAGGGAATAAAAGATTCGATTAGGTTAATAGCTTAGCACTTAGTACTCTTCCATCTGGATTGATTTAGTTGGAGAAAAAGAAGGATATGGAGTTGGAGTGATTGAAACGATGGGCAGGAAGTAAATAATAAATAAATAAATAAATAAAAACAAAATAATGTTGGTGAGGGGAATCAACACGGAGACCTCATTAAAGGGAAGCACTCGTTTTTCGCTGGGGAAACAGGAGAACCCGTGTCAACATTTTTAGAAAACAAGTATTTCTCGTTTTCTTCCGACTACTAATCTATTGTCCAACCATTTTTCCAAATAAAAAGTAAAAACGAAATGATAAGTGAACACGTTTTTCCATTTATGTTTACTAATTTCTGTGGTGGCAACGAAAATTAGAAAACGAAATGGCAAGTGAACTGAGCATAAGAGTGATTTTGTTCTCCTGACCAATACTTAGTACGTTTTATTTTAGTTCAACTATGAGCATAACATCTTTGATGAACTTTCCGCCTTCTTAGGTTTGCAACACTATAGCGTCTTTTTGCTTGAGTTATTAAATTACTTCATTTCTAGCATTGACTGTTGTTTTGAAACTAAAATCGATCCCTGAAAAACTCGTACAATTGTTGGTCATGTAATTAGTACACACGTTGTCAACAGTTTAATATGATCTTTCGACTTCTAGATGTGACATGTTGAAAATAGATTTCTGGTTTACTGTGTTATTGCTCCTTGTGAGGGAGATATGCTCTTTGTTGTTTGAATATGTACTTACTCAACCTATCCAATCTTTTTATAAATAGTAATTAGCCACAAGCCAACAACTATTCAACAACATGAAATTATAGCCATAATTATTGAAATAAAAATTATTAGCCATAACTATCATTGCGGGTAAAAATATGACTAACAACACTATTACCGTTAACCATGTTACTAACAGAGTTCCAAATCAGCATCATGATAGCGACCCACGTCAGATATCCTTAAAATAATAATTTTTATTCTTATTTTATTATTAAAAAAATAAAAACAACAAAAAAGTCATACCCTTCCTCTCCCCTTCTCCCTTCCACTCTTTCTTTCTCTCCTTCCCCTCATATGTTCCCTTTCTTTCTTTCTCTCTTTCCACGCATCATATGGTCGCCGCCCGTTCTGACGAGAGGATTGGAGGAAGTGCGGTGGGGTGATGGGGAGAAAACCCCCCAAATCTAACCCACCCAACTCTCGCGCGATTCATATCTGCAACTCTCCTCGTCACTCTTTAGTAGTTGTCTTGTTTGGAAAGCTCCTTCAAACGGTTTTTTCACTCATCCTCTTAATACATTGCGCGTGCTTTCACCGAACTGATGAGTTCTTGGGATGTTGATTTTTGCAAATCTTGTGATCCTTGTATGGTTATCACAATAGAAGTGAAGCTGTCTAATAACCTTCAGAGCATTCTCTATAAAAAAAGGTTTATCAATAGAAATTCTTCATAGAGCTTCATTTTGTTGACAATTTCTACAACTATGGATGAGTAGTCCTTACCATCTCTTTTACCTTCATGCTTAGATTTTCAATGTTTCACCAAGCGTTTGAAGCTTGATGATTATGTCCTTTGTGCTTTCAAATTCTTCTTGTAAAATAGACCAACCTTTCTTCATTGGTTTAGGAGTAATAATTCTCAAAAAATGCTTTGCGAGACTACCACAAATAAGAATGTAACGACTTTCTTATTTTTTAGGAGTCTCATAACCTTTTTAAATGATCCCCAAATTTAATATCCTTAAAAATGGTTTCAATTTTATGACCCAGTGTTCATAATTCTCTCCATCAAATGTTGATGGTAGAAATAAGGAAAACCTTGAGGAGAGCATTATTTGATGTTTTAGCTAGATAGAATTTGTGGTGGCCGGTTACATTAGAAGAATTCATATATATTCATATATTCATTTATATATACATATATATATATATATATATATATATATATAGTTATATATATATATTTTTTATATATAAAAGTCTAATATGAGAGTTACTATTCATTAGTGGCTCACACTCCACCAAGTGCAAGTGGGAAAGTTTCAATCCCTTCTTTTACCCCCACTGTTCATTCTACAACCTTTGTTTTTAGTTATTGTTCGCTAGGTTTTCATCTATGGTTTTTTGCACAAATCATTTCCTTTTATTGTTTTGTTATTGTCGCTAAGTTTTCGTCTATGACTTTTACACAAATCATTGCCTTTGTGTTTAGTTATTGTTCGCTATTGTTCATATATAAAAGCATAACATGAGAGTTACTATTCATTAGTGGCTCTCAAACTCCTTCAGATGCAAGTGGGGAAGTTCCAAGCCCTTCTTTTACCCCACTCTTCATTCTACAACCTTTGTGTTTAGTTATTGTTCGCTAAGTTTTCATCTATGGTTTTCTGCACAAATCGCCTTTTTTGTTTTGTTATTGTTCGCTAAGTTTTCGTCTATGACTTTTGCACAAATCATTGCATTTTTGTTTAGTTATTGTTCGCTATTGTCAACCATTTTGCAGCACATCTCGAAATACTATCGGTGGAATCCTAAGTTGTTCCCCACCACCATTTCCCAAGACCGCTACCACGAGTTTTGTATCGTGACCGAGTTTCATCCTCTGTAGTTTTTTTTCTTTCTTTTTTTCCCTTTTTGTTGTGCATGATCACCATTGAACCTAAACACATGGGTATTTTAACTTGAATACAAATCATCGCCTTTGCCCACCATTCTACGGACTTTTTCCAAAATAGCACTGTTTTTTTTAAATAGCATCCAACCCAAAAAAATCCAAAAATAACACCCGGGGCTCGGTTTTTGACAAAAACCGCACAGGTAGGGGGCGGTTTGCTTGCATACCACACCCCCACCCGACGGTTTGTATTATATATTTTTTTCCGAATAAAGATCATAAGTGGTCTTGGCACAAGTGGTTTAGCTGTTTATTGTGTGCAATAAGTCCCAGGTTTGAATCCCCTTCATCTCATATTAAGATTTTTTCTTTAGTAGATATTAAAAAAAAGCAACATAAATAGCTAACTAAATTTAGCACAACATCTACACCACCAAACTACAACTTTTTTTAACAATAATATATTGACAAAGTTTTAATCCTTGAACGCTAAAAATCCTCAATAACTTTGAACAACCATTACTTTGAGCTCCAAAATCCGAACGTCATGAATTTTTTTTTTCATTTTGCATAACTTTTTAAGGACTACAATTTTTATTACGAATGAACTTTCAAAACAAGAATTATTTTTGGATATACAGGATTTTGGGAATAACTTACCTTCACTTTTCACAAATCCATATACATTCCAAAATTATGTCTATGATAAAAATTTGTAGTCCTTAAAAATTTATGTGAAATGAAAAAAAATTCATGATGTTCGGATTTTGGAGCACAAAGTTATGGTTGTCCAAAGTTTGACGAGGTTTTTTAGCATTCAAAGAATAAAACTTTGTCAATATATCATTGTTTCAATAGAAGAGTTGTACTTTGGTGGTGTAGATGTTGTGCTAAACTTAATTATCTATTTATTATATCTGGGTTCAAACCACCATCCCACAACATGCTACTTTTTTTAATCTCTACTAAATAAAAAAAATTAATATGGGATGATGGAGATTCGAACCTGGGAATTCTTGCATACAATAAACAGCTAAACCACTTGTGTCATGACCAAGTATGGTCTTTGTTCGGAAAAAAAATATATATAATACAAACCGCCGGGTGGGGATGTGGTTTGCAACCAAACTGCCCCGGCCCCACGCGGTCAGCAAAATCGCCCCCTACCAGTGTGGTTTTCGTGACAGGGTGCTATTTTTGGAACTTTTTTTAAGACAGTGTTATTTTCGGAAAAAGTCTACATTCTACAGCCCATCTCGAAATGCTGTCAGCAGAATCCTAAGTTGTTCCCCACCATCGTTTGCCAAGGCCACTACGACGAGTTCTGTATCGGGACTGAGTTTCATCCTCTTTAGTGTTTTTTCTTTCTTTTTTTCCTTTTTGTTGAGCATGGTCACAATTAAACCCAATGCCGCTACCAAAAATCCATACCATATCTACTCAAT